CTTTAAAACCCGCTTGGATGCAGCCCTGTGCCACGTGCTCTAGGTGACCCTGTGTGAGCAGGGGGGTTGGACTCGATGACCTCTGAGGTCCCTTCCAACCTTGGGCATTCTATGATTCTATCATTAGCAGATTTTTTCTGCTAGTCTTTACTGCCTCATTTTAATATCTTTACTTGAAAGGTTTAACAAACACTTTGCCACCAGTACCTGATGTAAGCAAGTTCCACCCACAATGTTAAGCACAGAACAGATGTTCCAGGACCAGTAAGGCCATGTGCTTAGGTATTTGTCACAAATATCTACTTTACTCACAACCAAACGAGTAGCTTGCAAGTACAAAGCACTGCAAGCAGCAACGCTGGCCATACTAGCCATACTACAGACTAGACAGAAGACCTAAGGGACACCCTGAGCTCAAGAGGACGATAAATCTGAAACAACTCCAGGCTGCACAGAAATGCTCCTGCTTCTTGCAGCCCGATGTGATTTAATGCCATGAAGAATATTTCCAAGGAACATTGTGAAGAGTTTAATGACATGGTAGCTTGACGAAGCTCCAGCAGATCATGTTTAATCATGTTTTGCTTACAGGCAACTTGGTTTCACATGACAAATTAAGTATTTAATTACACAGAATCTTATCTTCAATTAGATGACATTAATATTACAAATTTCTGACAAGCATGCATCCATGCAGCAATTATAACTACTGGCAGGATTAGGAAAAGCATTTTAACGGACTTTGAAATTACCATTTCAGTCCCTATAATCTGTTCTTGAATAAGCCGAGTATTGCAAAACCAGAGATGCTTCAATTATAAAAATATATTCCTGATGTTTGAGACAAACTGACCTATTCTACTATGTATTTATATTTGTATTGTGCTTTGTGACTACTACAGTTAGGAGCAGAGTAAATGAAGAATACCGTGCTGTACTAAACAGGATAAAGGAAAACTCTTTTTCAGTGCCTACCCATTGCTTTTAATTTGCTTTTTGTCTCCTCATGCAAGGAGGATGTGACTCATTGCCACAGTRGGGAACCAGTAGCTGTACAACTAATTTTAGCTAGCAATGGATAAGGATATAATGTTAAAAGGAGTAATTAGGTGTTAGCAAAAGTATCAGGGCCAGATTCAGCTAAAGCCTCAAGCAAACACATCTTCTGTTGCAGTTTTGATGCTACCATTCAAAGAACTGCTGCCTAGTTACAGAGGACTAAATTTCACTGTCAAAAACTGCACTGCCTAACAATTTCCTTAGGAATTTGAAAATTCTGCTTTTCAGGGCATGCAGACACTTCTCCGTTTTGACAGGCCTATTTATCTACATCTGAATGTGCCCAACCGCACATGTACCAAGTCCTTATGGAGCCCTCATCACATACTGCCCATGTGGTAGAGAGATCTACTAGCTAATTGGACAAACCAACTCCACAAACAGCCTCACAGGACTGAGTTTCTAACACAACCTAGTGTTACTTTAGACCAGTTACTCAAAAAAAAAAAAAAAAATTTACTCCCTTCCTGTACAGCAATAAGTTAATTTCTGTATTTCTCACATAGACAGAARATATCCAGTATATCTGGCAAAGGCTTGATCAGAGTAGTGAAATGCTTCAAATTTCACTGGAGCTATGTCTCCCCCAGGGGGAGAAAAAAAAAATCTAAGATTTATTGAAATAAGAAGCAAAGAGGGAAAGACTTTTTGCCTCTGAAAGCCTAACATTCAGTTCRGGGAGCAGCACTGGATTTTGATCTCTGCTGCTTAATGCTGCTCCCGTACTGGACGAAACGGCCCGCAGCAGAAGGAAGGAGATGGAAAATTAAGGGTCTCCCGGGCAAGTGCTCTGGACCAAGCCACCAAGGATAAACCCATGCTCTTTCCACAGCCACTTGATGATGAGCAAAACATCCATCATCTTTTATATCCACCTGGAAGTTCTCTAGAGGAGCTAAAGCCACCAGGAGTGTCACAGAGTGGCAGAACAGGCTGCAGACCCGGAGCCAACAGGCGCTACAGGCTGTGGTCACAAAGGGAGAGGTGCTGCAGCAGAGGAGCAGGTTTGAGGCCTCTCTCTCTCTCCTTGTGTTTAGTATCACATAGCTCCAGGCACCTGCTGACTGTGGCAGGCTGATTAAAGGCAGCCTGCCATTCAGCATGCTGCTTAAACCTTTCAAAATCTCTGCTCAAACACTGGATAACGAATCCAAGTGTTTYTGATTCTGCTCTGGGGATTTCTTGCCAGGAAAGCTGGGCACAGCACATGAAAAGGCAGGTACACGCGCTTGTGCACCGTGCTATTCCACATGCTGCTAACTAGGGCTCGACCAGAAGGGAAGGACTGCAGCTGCGAGCAACACCGAGCTAAAACGTGGCTAAAATGGCTTCTGGATACTCTGGATCTACTCTGCTGTGCACGACTACTGCACCACATCGTGACACACACAGACGTTTGCAGCTGCACTTGCCTCAAACACAGCAGAGTGCCTGACCTTAACCAAGGGTTGCACAGACTAATTCTTTAGCGTTCACATGGATTTTCTGGGCTCAGGTAGAATCATGTCCAGCACTCAGCACTAATGCCTATTATTCTGAGGTCCTTAATTGGGGTCTAAATTACTACAAGATGCTGCTCCTGCTACTACAAGGTTTTAGAGAGCTCAATATCCTCAAATCCTGTCCATGAAGCCTTCTGGAATTTGAAAGGGAAATAAGAACAGTCTCAGACCATAACAGCTCCCCTAGTTACTTACTAAAACGCAATTCATTTGAGAAATTAGAAGGTCCTTACCTGCCGATAGTGCTGTGTAGTCTGTATCACGTGCATGTACATGTTGTACACAAAATTCGCCATTTGAGGCATGTTCTTAATAATTTGTATCGGGTGAGAAGGTCTTTCTCCATTCTAGGAAAGGGAAGAAAAAAAGCAGACATTCAGCAAAACCAATTTTTAAAAAAAATTAAAAAAAATATATAAATAAAACAGCTAATTTTTTTTTTTGTGAAACAGAAAACGTAGGTCTTGCATTTTTGGCAACTGCAGTCTGATTATTAGACTGCAGTATCAGTCAAGGTAAGGAACATTCTCAGGAAGAGGAAAGGCAAGTTTTTGATACTTGTTCCACAGAGTGCATTTTGGATTTAGGACTCTTAACTAAAGGCATAAATAGTTTAGAATCAAAATAGGACTTGGCCTCCTTTTCAGCAGGGCGCTTGGTTGTGGCAGACATCTGTCCTCCTGGACCACAGGCTCTGCCTCCTTTTGTTTGCAGAGGGGACCCGTTTCAACAGGAAGGCTCCATCCCAACCTTGTCAAGAGCTTGGTGGTTAGTGGGCTGGTCTAAATCTGCAGGGTGGGCTTTGAACTACTGAAGCACAAGGTTCTTGGAGACTCTTCTTCCACCAGATTATGGAAAGGATGGTCTCCTCTGCCTTCACATGGGACAACGTTTGAGTCAAATGTCTGGATATACACACCCAAACGACACCTTTGATAAAGAAGAGTTGATGCTTCGCGGTGAAAGTTCACTCCACGGACATGATTATCCAAGCAAGGGACGTGATTATCCAAGCACTGGTTTTTAACCAATGCAGGTAACCCAGCAGTCCCGCTTTCTGTAGCCCACTTTCAACAGGGGAGGCCACAAGCACACCCATTACAGCTAGCAAAATTCAGCACAGATGTTCCTACCTGTCTGGCTGTGGGAAAACACTCTGTGGGAATTATGTGGAGGTGAAGTGGTCGAGCTGTGAGTTGACTGAAAGCTGGAGTTAACTCAAAACAGTTCTGAAACAGCGATACCCTGGCGAAGATATAAAGCCCAAGCCTGGCTCTYGACATGGCAACAACCAATCTTCGGACATCCCTTCAGAAAAACCAACAACAGTCATATTCTTTATCTCTGATGATATCATTAAATTCAAATAACTGGAGAGAGAGAGAAGTCTTTACGGGAAATATACAGTAATCTGCTAAAATACTATTTTTCCTTTTTTTTTTTTTTTAATACACAGTGTTTTCAATAAATCCTAGACATACTATATGAAAGAGYTTTAACTCCACTGTTAATGATACTAAAAATATCCCTGAATAAGCTGAAGTGAGTTGAATAATAGAGATTTGACTACCGCTGAACAGACAAGGCTTCCCCCACAACAAAACTGAAGTGCAAACAGTTTAAACTATATAACAGACCCCAAATTATGCAAAAGTCACACACTGATATAAAGTAAATAAACTCAGTTACACGAAAATGTCTGGGAAAGTTTCAGTATGTCAAACAGCACTACATTCCTATCATTCTACAAGGGTGAAACCAAGTTCAGCCTACCTGCAGTAATACAAACTAATTATAGGTTTTAGATAAGAGCCAATACTAAAGGATAAAGTGGTTGCGAAGAGGCTGCGAGGCAGCTATATATGGAATTAGGTTCTAGCTTCATTCCACAAGCAACATGAAGCTTTGTTTTTACTATTTAGTTGACTACCTTTGTACAATAAACAAATATCCTTCTACTATATGCCTTTATYCAGGTCTCTTCATACATACCTAAGGTGGCCCACAGCTTTGGTGCGCACCAGCGAAAGGAGGATATAGTCATTCTGTTGCCCTTGAAATCTGTCTACAGTTGTCACCTAAAGAATCAAAAACAAACCAACCACCGCCCAAAGTTAATTCTTCTATTTCATTTAAAAAGCAACATCAACCATTTAGCAACAACTTCAGATTCACATTACAGTAAGTGGGAAGAGAGAAGAGAATGACTTCCAGTTCAGTTCAATTATCTTCTAACCKGTGCCTGAAAAGTCATCAAGCTATTCTCTTTGCAAGTATTGGGAGGAGCTGTTTTCCAATACAGCAAGACATGTACTCTCATTTGTTTTGTGAATTTGTTCAATTCACATAGCTATTAGCACTATTATAGTGCTAATACCAAAAGACTTTACAAAGTCATCCATTTTATAGTATATTARCCAGCAGAATTAGCACTTTTGTTTTCCAACATTTGTAGCCCATCAAATTTTTTTGTCGTATTTACTCTGCATGACAGACTACAGACAGAAGTGACTGCACTACCCTATGACCACAGAAACCGTACGAATAAAAACCTGCTGCTAACCTGCAAATACTCGCACARGAAACTGTGTCTCTATTCAACTCAACTGTTTAAAACATGAAAATTATGAAAAATAAACATGCACGCACACACACACACACACTCCACCTTAAAAACTCAGGTATTTTCAAAGTCACCTTGTTTGGCCTTCCAATCAGTGGGTTATTTCCACAGCGCTGATTAATGACATCTCGGATCAGATGCTTTTGTCCATTGTAGGTTGTCAGAATACTTATCTTGTCTGCAGGATAACCAAGCAGGCACATATACATGAAGAGCGCCACAACGTATTCTGCCTCACCAAGATTCTTGGGTTTAAAAGGGGAAAAAAAAAGTTATTTGTCTTGGAAGACCGCAATGAAAAGCACCTGAGACATTACAGTGTGTTTAGAAGACACAGTACTAAACAAAACGTAAGATCTGAACCCCAGATTTGTGTTAAACTCATGGACTTGCACGACACTACAGTTTTTCAACATTTCTGATACAAACTAGTAAATCAAGCAACAAGTGTTTTTTACCACCTTTTTTAAATAGAATTTTGGGAAAAAAAGATTGAAAATACGAGCATCTCATCACAAATGTAGAAGATTTTCCTACATTTAAGCTGCATAGGAGATGACTGTAGATRGCTGAATTTGAAAAATTACTTGAGAAATTCCAAGGCTAAGGTTTTTTGACAGYTTACTCAGTTTGGCAGTTTAAACCCACATTTTTTGGGGTACTGTTTCATTCTTCTATGAAGAGGCTTTTCTACATTATCACACACATAATGAGACTATGCCACTTCTACCTCATTTTCAACATTCAAAACTGATTACGAGATGAATAACCACATTTATTCATAACTAACTTTATCTGAAAACCTGAAAGAAACGACAGTATTTTGTTATTAATTCTGCACAAAGACGGACTAGCGCAGACCCCCATTCAATAAAGCRTTCCTTTGCTTTACCTGATAGAAATAAGGATTGGGTTCGGACTCTCCCACGCCATTGAAGTCTTCCACGTTTACGAGCTGGAAGTCATAGAGGAGGCCGGCGTTGGCTGTTCTGAACTCGGGCAGAAGCTGCACGTGAGGCAGATTGCCCAGATTCTTGTAACGCCAATTGTAGAGGTTACACAAACTGTCCAAACACACAAATACAAACCCAAACCGTGAAAAGGGGGTTAAGTCATTCAAAGTAGCTCAAATACAAATACACCCTCCCATGTGAGAATTTCCACAAGTTTTCTTCATTTATATATGTGAAAGCTACCCAGTAATCATTTTCCAAGTTCTGTTTTCTCCTGTTCTCTCACACAGAAGCTCCAGATTTCACTTTTCTCTGGAGAGCACAGAAATCTGTCTAATTCTTCACGTCCTCTGATACCATYACACATAGCTGCAGTCTGAACTGAATTCTCCCTTCTCTCCCATCATGGAGACATGAAGAATACTCTCCTTTAAAGAACTACTGATAGAAATTTAAAAACAAACAAAAAAAMCCCAAAACAACAACAAAAATTGTTTTTTTTTTGTTGCACATTTTTGTGCACATAAGTCTGCACATTCCATTGTGCAGACACAATAAAACAAGAGACATTGTAACAGCAAATTCAGAATAGCAAAATTCAGAACAAAATAGCATAATAGCAAAATTCAAAAAGAATTGTGTCTGAATAAGTCTAAGGTTTTTATKCTTTGAAACAGATCTTTGAAAACAGATTGCCTAAGTATTGTTTTGCTCTGCAGATTGTTTCCTTAGTACAATGCAGATTGTTGCATATAGAATTGCTTTAGGACCTTAGGTCCAAACTCAGTTCTTCCAGTAACCTATTTCACTGACTTGAGCGAGTATGTCCTGTATTTTGGTTTGAAAATCCAAAGGAATTTCAGATTACTTTTCCAAAAAACTCACCTCTTTCCACTGCGAAAGGGAGACCAAATTGCAAATTCAAAAGAATGAAGCTATCATGCCACTGTGGGAGCAATCTCAATGTCTAATCATGCACAGTTGAAGCTCTGCTGAAATGTTTTAAGAGAAGTGTCTTTCTCCTTTACCARAAGTTCTCTTATGAGTGGCATTCATAGCTATATCTTGGTGTGCATTTTATTAACTTCAAGGGAAATACCAAGTTTTGGTTTAGCTTTGAATATATCAAATATATTGATTTAGAAAAAAAAAACCTTCTGATAAAAACCTCAGCTGTGAACAAACAAAAAATACCTCCTAAAACAAGCAAACAACCTCCCCCCCCCCAAAACTTAGAATGACAATTAAAAATGCRTTAAATGTCATCTTCCCTGAAGTACTCAAAATACTGCCATGTGAAAAAAAAAAAACAAATAAAAAAGATCTGGTAATTCTTACAAGATAGAGACACTATTTTCTCCATCTTACCTTGCTCTTGCTCTTCCTTGTGCATCCAGATCAACAGTTGGCACTCCCACACGAACAAACCGTGTAAAAAGGGACTGCTCCATGTTGGAATATTTCTGAAATGCCATGTTCTTTATGACTGGTGGCAACTGGTGATGGTCACCAATCATAATCCATCGCTTCAGGCGGCTAAATCCATCCTGTGGGTTCTAGAATTAAAAAAATTACTTAATTGTAATCAAGGCACTCAATTACAGCAAATTAATAGCCAAATTGGCTTACTCTAAGTTCTAAATTTCAAAATTCGTTCTTAAGTTACAATGATTTGCAATCATTTTAAATGTTACTGCTGCCTTTTTTCTTTTGTTTCTAGCAAGAGAGATTAATGAAGAGTGTTTTCAGAGAAAGATGCTCAGACCTTAACCATAGCAGTGCTGGGGGATAAATTAAGCATCCCTTAGGTCAGAAGAATAAGCAATATTTCTCTCTGCATGAACACAGTTATTTCTATGTGGCTTCTTGAAGACTGTGCTATGGATCAGTCTTATCAGTTTCCTTACTTTCTTCCCTGCCTTACCAGAGCCTTTCCAGCTGCAATACCTTCATCTGACATTCCCTTTTTACTCTGTCTTTAGTTAGTCAGCTGTGCCTGGTTGCACCAACACATGCTGCAGGGGTTGATTCAGGATAGGCATTTCCGAATTAGCTTGCCAAAAGGCGCGTTATCGTTGGCCAAAAGCAGATGGAGGAGAACGGGCAACCATTTCTTCTTTTTCTACAACCTGGAAGAGCAATCAGTAGGTTTCCTCTCTATCTGCCTCCTGTTTCTGTGAGTTTTAAGTACTTTGTATATCTCTAGATCAGTTCATTTTGATTTAAACTGACCAACACCACAGGAAAATARGATAATACAACCCTTACACTCTTGGAATATAATATAAAAACAATTTTGGAATTATGCTTTGCTCTATGCTGTATTCGGAAGTCTGCTCAGTTGCCTGTTTAGCATGAAGAAGAGGAGGCTGAGGGGGAACCTGATCAGTGTCTATAAATACCTCAAGGGAGGCAGTGAGGAGGAWGGGGCCGGTCTCTCTTCAGTGGTGGCCACTGACAGAACTAGAGGAAACGGCCACAAACTGAAGCACCAAAAGTTGCACAAGAACTCAAGGAAAAATTTGTTAACAGTGAGGGTGACAAAGCACTGGAACAGGTTGCCCAGAGAGGTTGTGGAGTCTCCTCTGGAGATCTTCCAAACCTGCTTGGACACCGTCATGTGCCACGTGCTCTAGATGACCCTGCGTGTGCAGGAGMGTTGGACTAGATGACCTCTAAAGGTTCCTTCCAACCTTAACAATTCTACGAACAGCAAGCATAGCAATGTTTTAAATTAGCAAGAGTTTAATAATTCCTATTAAATGAAAAAGTAATTAAATCAGCATCAATTTTACAAATTCCAATTACCTTAAGCTTTTATTTTCAAAATGAGGACTTTGATAGTACCACTATTTAGTCAATTMATGGTAACAGATTTATAACATACTAGCTGATTCCACAGTATCATAAACACATGATAAACAACTAACGAAAAACACTGTGAGAGTTCTTACTGTCCACTCACATAAATGCAAAATATCAGTTTGATGTCACTTTCTGCAGAAGACAATCTCTTCATATGCTATTCTGTTGAAGAACACRTACTTCTAATTATCACTTTTTACACAATATTAAATAATTCAATTCTAACCTGCAGCAGAAGGGGTATAAAGGTTTCTATCTCCAAAATCTGAGCAGACTCTTCCATTAAGATGTTGTCATACTGAGAAAGAGAAAAAAGAAATGTCAACCAAGTTGTACAAGCTAGGGCTGCAAAACAGCCTGTTCAATGGAAGCACCAATTCAGGMAAATCATGTATTTTCCATGGATGGAACCATTAACAGCAGGATTCCACTTTACAGACAGTGCACTACAGGCTTCTCATGCACCATAATCTTTTCACAAGAGAAAATTTTCATGCAGTCTAAAAAAGTTGGCAGAACTGCACTAGAGCATTTGTGGGATCCCAAAGCAGTGCATTTCAAGGGGGAAAGAGTACTGAAAAGAAGCTGGTGAACTGAAAGGCTTTGTGTCTGTCAGACCCACCTAAGTCTGCAGTAAAAAACTACAGAGAATACTGCAATGTGAAAAAAAAATGGAACTCAAAGCATTTTTTTTAGGTAAACAATGTTATGAATGTTATTTCTCCCAATTCTATCCTGCCTTTATTTTATTACTCAATCATATCACTGCAGTTCATCATTTAAAACAGCAAAGCTCATTTTTAAATGGGTAGATTTCAACATATGCAGTATCTTCAAAGTGACCTCTATTTTACACAGGCAAGTAGAAATTAAGCTATTCAATAAAATTCCAATTAGAAATATTTCAATCAAAAGAAAAACTCAAAATAACCTACATTTAAGGCAGATAAAAAGTTTGTATAAGAAGAAAAAAAAGTCGACTTGTGTCACTAGCATCATTATTACCTTGAAACCTAGTTCAACCAAGTCATGTCTTTTCAGAGCAGCATGAGTACAAGTCATGGCAATAATTTTTGCTTCTTTCACCAAGAGGTATTTGGATCTATCCAGGCCACTGCGGAGAAGTTCAAAAGCTCTGAATTCCTATGGGAGAAGAAAGAAAGCCTTGAATTTTAGTTACCAATTATAACAACTATTCACTCAGAAACCTCTAGTAGCCCTGAGGACTACCTCCCCCCACCCCGACCCAACGCTTTTATTTTACCACATCTTCTCTTTTTCCACTTGCTTACTGCATCATAACATAACCCCAAAAGCAATATATACAATTGATAGTTATGTGATGGATATACCAAGCTGATATATGATCAATACATTAATACAACCAAACGATACAGAGATCACCTTTACACTAAGTTTTAAGAGTCCCTTCAAACAATTCCAGAGACGATTTATGATAATCTGCTTATGTTGCTGCTAGATTATCTGATTAAAGGCAATTCCTGTAAACACAAAGATCAGAGGAGCAGTGATAGGTTATCTGGGTTCTTACATCTGACCAAGAGGAAGATGGAGCACACTGAATGGCTCCTTCCTGAGATCACCGTAGCATGACTAGAAACTATTGTTCCTAGTGTAAACCAGGACAAAAAAAAAAAAAAGAAAAAACAACACACCACTCAACAGGGAAGCTCTCACCTGAATGCCTTGCAAGGCAACAGGGATGGCTGTCTAACAGTGTATATTACTTAGAGGGTGCGCAGGGCAATGGGAATTCTGAGATGGGATTTTGTGTGTTCAGATACTTTAACAGCCACATGTTTTTACCTCTAGCTGAGCAAATATTTTCTTAAGATGTCGGAAACACCCTTCAGCAATTTCCATATCTTCTTCATAAGATTTGCCTTTGAAAATTGGCTGAGGAGCATTTGCAAAATACTGGTGAAAAGGAAAGAATCTGGAGACATCTGCAACATCAGGCTGCTTTCCACCTCTGACTTTCACTTTACTGATATATTCCTCCCAACGAGACATTACCTACGGTTAAAAAAAATAAAAGACAATCATTAAACAGACGTAGCACACACATTCTTTAACTCAAGAAATAGTTAGAATTGTTAAAAGCTGCTTTATTTAACTATTTTATGAATAGGTTTAAACCTAATAGAAATGCATTTTCATCACTAATTGGTAGAACACTTTTGAAGCAGATCTCCTCATTGTTTACACTTGTAACGTATTGTTTTAAATTGCAAACTAAACCAGCAGATGCACAGCACTCAATATTCTCCTAATATTCTCTAATAGCTAATGACCATCTCATACATAAAACCACACCTGAGTTGGTACAAAGTAACCTCTGTAAAAGCAAATACAGCATCTGCATCTGGTCCTCAGCACCACCCTAAGTCTACCCTTTTTGAGATACACTACTTGCTGCTATAGAAAAAGCAASTAAAAAAGCACCTGAAGGATACAAGGGATATAGAGAAATTTATAACTTGGTGTCCAAGCTCATGCTGGCATCACGACCATACAAAGCTTTCTAGCACGAATGTTTGTAGCTGCTCTAAAACCTGTCAAATATATAAAGCCGCCCACAGCTTCTCCCACTTGAAGGGAAAACTCCTCATTAGAAACTTTGCCAACAGCCACAAAAAGCAGCAACATCAGCCTTCCAACTCATGAGTCACCGAGGAAGGAATTAAAACAGCAATACATACAAGTAACATTATAATTATAGCTTTAGTTGGTATTGTATTTTGAACTACCAAAGAAAACTGATTTATTTTAGACTTAATTCTGARAATTCGCTCCAATTTTTACAGCATGTTTCATAACATATTGAGGTCATACAGTCTATGKGAAAGTGCTTCAGCCCTTACTTGGTATAAGAAAAAGTGTCCAGCTGTTTCACAAGTGTAAGAAACATCTCCCGGGACTCCAAGACTCTCCTGTAATCGCCCAACTTCTCGTAGCAGCTCAAGTCTTCGAGCAAGGACATAATTAACTCTTCCATATCTACAAATGGGATAAAATGTAACATGTCGTTATAGTTTTTCTATATATCACAACGCAAGATCCCACACACAAGCTACGCAGTGTAAAAAACAAACAAAAAACAAAACAARCAAACCAAAAAACCTGCTGGCTACTTCTATCCAGACYAGGCCTAATAATTTGAAAAGCTGCAAGAACCATTTACTCTAGAAAAAGTTTCTTTGATTGTGCCACTTCAAGACCTTCTTAATTATTAGAATATTCTCATAACATACTCAAAGCAGAAAAAAACTAACCTATTTCTAAAATATAGGTTGGAAACTACTGCATATTACACCTCATACCTGAATATGCAAATTCACAAGGATCTATGGACAATCCTAACTGGAACGTAGTACTCCAAGTTTCAGTGCCATAGGGCTACTTCTCTTCAGCCATTTGTAAAATGCCTTGCCATAGTGCTTAGCCTGCCTACTTACACAGGTCTGCAGCCACAGAGGAGACCCCTGAGGCAGGGGAGCACAGCTGCCCCCTGAAAACCCTTCATTCCCCTTCCGTCAGAGGCTGGTTTCCTCATCCGTGCACTCGCTTGCACAGAAAGCGGTGCCAAGAACAAAAAAAAAAAAAAAAAAAAAAAAAAAAAAAAAAAAAAAAAAAAAAAAAAAAAAAAAAAAATCAAAGAAAGTGGCTGAAAGCCAAGTGGTAAGGGAGGAGCAGAACACTTGCTTTACAAATACATATGTAAATAAAAGCTTGAGAAAAAAAATCAAATTCATATTAAAATTACTATTCATCAAATATGCTTTGTGGACAGAAAATAAAACAAAATGCGCCCTGGGAATCACATCGTGTTCCATTGTCTTCTTTTGAAAACTTAAGAGTAATTAAAGCTGGAAATATTAATTCAGTAAGGCATAACTGAATATGACATTGTTTTAAAACTGGAAAAAACAAGTTCCTTCTGCAGGAGATCCGACAGTGAAGACTTCTGGAATGTTGAATTATTTTCTCCCCTTCAACATCATCATAATTACAACTGACTGCAASTAGTTTATTTCCACACTTCTGAGCTTCTTCTTATTCCTCATAATTCACATCACATGCCCCRTCATATTTGTTCATCCAGGGCTAAAAAAAAATTCCTTTTACTGTTCTTAAATAACAGTACCCTCTTAATGAGCTCCTCTCCACCTTAGGTCCTTACGCYACCCTCTTCTGCTCGGCCAGCAAAAAGGAACAAAAGAGGTTTCCAATAGTAAGAACCCTTTAAGCAGTGTTGCTGCACTCCAGAGCAGCCTGACACACACACAAAAACCATGAATTTAGAAGCAACTTAAACAAGTTAAAATCAGGCAAATAAGAGATAAGCGTCTCTTCCTTCAAAAATGTTGGACCCACATCACATGTCCCTCTCTCTGGACTTGCCAGAGCCTACAACTTTGCAGTAGGGTCCTGTCGGTCTGGAATTACTTTGAAAAAGAATGACTATATTCCTTCTCTCAAAAACACGCAAACAAAATAAACACAAAAAATACAATGAGTAGCATTAGTGTTCACAGGATATATTAAGTCTACTAAATAACTACCTGCCATGATATTAGTTCATTAAGATTTGGGATTTTGACTCCTAAATTTCTAGAGCAATCATGTCACAGAACCAAAATTCGGAAAAAAAACAAACAAACCAACTTCCAGCATCTAAATTTAACTTTTACCACAGCTTTTAAAAAGGTCAAAAGTATTGCTACAATAATCCTGTACTGGACCAGTCTTTTATTTCCACTGCGTGGCCCTTATTCCTGCTCATGCTTACGAATGTGTGAAATCCTACTGGCATGAACCAGCCTAAGGAGTGACACACAACACACAAACGTTTACAGGAGCTTGTTCTCTGCGCTGACAAAGATTTGAAAGGTGTCCTTGTGAAAGCATTGTGTGTTATTTACCAGTGACATAAAATATGTCTAAAATTCTTAAATACAGATTGGTTCCAATTACGCAAAGGATTCAATAATAGGAATTCTGTCTCACCTGCTGAAATCCTTCTCTGTCTCCAATTCCTCTTCTCCGTGACCCAGACGCAGGAGGTGACGCTCATCAATGTCSAGAGCCATGATCTTCTCAAACAGCTGGTTCAGAGCCTAAAGATTGACAAGAACAGAGCAAAGAGTAGTTTTTAGAAGTTTGGAGGCTCTCGTAAGGAAAACTGAAGATTTATTGATGAGCCACCTAGAATAGGTGCCTATTTTGGTAACAACTGAAGACAGAGCAAACTTCAAGGTAACACTGAAACTAGACCTCCTAATCTTGAGAGAGGAAACGAGCCTACTGAAATAGCTGTCTTTGCATACCTTACATGAAAGTTAAAAATGRTTTCAACCATCTAATTAGAAAAAAATGATTTATACAATTATTAGTTAATAAAACTGTCAAGAAATACACTTTGCAAACACACATTTTGTTAGGTGATTTTGAACCCCTTCTGTTCATTGACTTTCAGTAAAAACTCGAAGAGTGTTTTCTGATGTTGACTGATGCCAGATCTCCATTCAAATTTCAAAAAACAAATCTGCCCATTTGAACTCTTCAAGGTGGGCCACAGGACAACACCATATTCCATTATATCTTGCTTGTGATTTAAAACACTTTAATTCTCTTAACAGCTTATTAGCAACAGCATCATTCAGGTATTTTTCAGAAAGTAAGCAGCAAGCATTGGATCATCAAGTTATGGAATTTTAAGGATAAACATGCATAAGTATTACTTGCAAGTGACAGTAATACAAGGAATGAACACTACTGAGAGTGCATCAACACTACAGAGAGTTTTATTTCCAAAGTACAGTTAAAATTTAATGTGCTAATMCAGCTTGTCCAGTAAAAACTGCTACCCATCTACCTCAAAAAATAGTTCCCTATGTTCTTGCCCAGCAGACATGGTTGGGCTTTCAACCCTTTCTTTCAGCTCTGTTACCTTTCACTCACCCTTGACCCACGGTCRCCTGCCGTGCATCAGCCCAGGCCTAATGGACTGGCTGCCCAAAGCGACGGCGTGAGCTCCGTTTGCCACGTTCTGGCAGACTCTGTGAGCTCCTGAGCTCACTCCAAAGGACAGTGTTTAAACGTTTTCCAGGTTTAATTAAGATAGCTGATGAAGGATAAACTTCTTAGGAGGACTGGGAAACAGATACAGCTGCTTTACTAAAAAAAGATGACTTTACAGCCAAATCCTCCTAAAGTAGATGCAGCTATAGAACAGGAATCCTTAAGATATTTTTCTATTTTAAAAGCCAATGAGTTAGCAGCATTTGGTCTTCCTTTCTTCTGAAGGGGAGGTATAAATAAATAAAYACCCAGCTGAAAATGACATGCTACCATTTATGTCTTCAGTTGGAAGCATAAAAACAGAGCAGAGACCCAGACAGCTCATTAGCAAAAAATCCAGTCTGGCCTGCGTGCGGGCAGCGTGCAACTGCAAGCCAGTGCTGACACATATTCAAAATACTTTCTAATTTCCACCCCCAAGCGGCTAAATATAACCAAAAAGATCACATACATCTCAGAACTATGAACTTGAAATTCAAAAATGTATTCTCATATTATAAAGCTGGCACATAAACTGTACACAAATCCGCTCCAGTTTTCATTGTTAGAAACAACTGAAATAATCAAAAAAACTACTCTCAGCATCCGTTGTTCTTAAAGGAAAATTTTATATACTTTACCTGATTAGAGTGGGTAACTATAAGCGTTCGCTGTTCTGGGAAATTATGATAAAGATTGGATATTATCTGGACTGCTACATCAGTTTTTCCTGTACCAGGTGGACCCACTACCTAAAAATAAAACAAGGAAACCATCATTATCATATCTCCCCATAATTCGTGATCCTACTGCAGGGGAAAGCTATAGAGCCTTTCAGGSAAAACAGCAATCCAACATGACAGAAATTCAGCATTAGTGACAAAGATACTGTCTTTCACCTACAATTAGCAGGTAGCTTCTGTAAGCATGCAGTACACTGGGAAAGCCTTAGCCTGGCGATAAATCCCTGCCCTGCATAAGAGGAATACTGTCAGCCAGCACATGAAGGGCCCTTCACTTTAGAGGTAGATATAAAATGACTCCAGTCTCTTCATTTACTCAAACTTCTAGAGCTGTCCATAAAATATATATATAGTTGGTATTTTTTTAGGTTCAATTATACCAACAATATTAAGAATTTTTACTCTTGAAATATTTTAACCCATCTCAAAGTCATTTGTACAGTATTTAGCATAGAAAAGCAAATTTATTGCATCAGCATAAAATTACAAGTTGCTGGGAGATCATGCTTGCAGTAGACAACCTCAGCTAGATTCAAAACGGAGCAAGACTCTGCCTGCTTCTTTSTCGTAAATCTATTTGCTTCTGGTGACAAATATATACGTAGGTCTACATTGTATAAATGCTTTTCCAAACAGTTTCCTTTGTTYCTCCCACAGAAAAAGAAAAAAAACCCAGATTATCTATTGCAAAATAAGACACGCATCCTCAAAAAGAAAGACTGCCATTTTTTCGCCGTCTTGACCTACCTAGTAAACTACATACTGATCATTTACATAAAATGTCAAAATAGCTGACACAGGAAAATACTTTCCCCTGTAAAATTGTCTAAAAGGAGGCAGCTGGCAGTTAACAGTGCATTAACACTGGAAAGGCATTGTTACTACTTGACCAAAGATTCAGTGATATTAATTAACAGTACATAATCCAACTTAAAAAAAAAAAAACACGAAACAATTACATTACCTCAAGACCCACCTAGTATTTGGTGTGCCAATTACATACTACAAAATGATAAAACTTAAGTTTCCATAGACCTTAAAGCTACATTTGGGCAAATCAGTTGAACAATGAGAAAAGATAAAGCTCCTGAAGTTATTTTTCCCCTCTGCCTTTTATTTTGTGTGCCGCAAGTATTCAGGTAGAGGCAAAAAGACAAGGGGAAAGYGAAGGAGGAAAGGAGTTGGTGCTAACGAACACTAATTCAAAAGCTAAAAATTAGCATTAATGCCCAAGTAGTCCAAAGAGTAAGAGATTCATAGAGTAAGAGGTCTGCAGCAAATACAGAAAAGCCATTCACATGCTAAGCAACTAAGGAGTCACTAGCAGAACTTACAGCACAGATTCCCTAAAAATAGTCTTACCATAGTTAGCCCAGGTTGCATTCCTGCTCGTATAGCTTCAATCTGAGTATGGGTAAACTGAATAGTATTGCTGCAACAAAGCAAAACAAGGTCAAAAGGCTCACAGATTTTGCTAGCRGTTGGTAAAAGCCATTGTTTTAACAAGTTTGATTTAAATGAAAAAGTTATGTGTTTCTCCGGAATTACACACTTACAATCAAAAGATTGTAACATATGTTAGGCCATCATTACAGCTAATGTGACCCCTTTATCAACTCACCAATCCTKCAATTTCTACACAAGACAGCAGATCAGTGTCTACTTGACAACAAAATCATCCCACCTGAAAGGATGTCTTAAGTCGTTGGTATTTGCTGAGAGAATGCAGTAAATGATTACAGAATTTAGTTATGATTCTCCTTTTCTAYGTTAGAGCAATACACTGATCAGTATATTCTCTCAAAAAGAATATAAATTTATAAACTCTACAGTTTAAGAGAATATAATATATATTCTCATATATATAAATAGAGAATATAAAATATATATAATAATAACATAAAATTTATAGAGAGAATATACACTATAAGGACCAGGGTTTAATCCATCTAGATGATCCTTYCTTGACCCAGTCACTCCTGGAGATATCATAACTAGGAGTTCACGTTGGACTTACACTTTTAAGTGCAAGTCTTCAGCTTTAAAACACCTAGAAGCTATTTGTTGAACGCAGAATGGGATCCATAAGCACAGCCACAGGCAAAGAAACTATAGCATTCTGTTGCCATAAGTTATCTTATATCCCCAATTACCTTTAAAATAAATCGAGAAGAAAGCTAAGCTTTTAATGTCCTTATTTTCAATAGCATTTATATCATTATGTAGAATTTTTTATATAAGTCCATTATTATGAAAAAAGTATTTTACCTACTTAYAAAAATAAGCCTACTCACAGTTCTTTAATTGTCAGTTGTTTATAAAATATTTCAAAAATATCAATAGGTGAGAGATAATGAAGAAAAAAAGTTAATATTAAAAGTTCTGATAATACTGAAAACCAGTATTTCCCAACATATTTTCCAAATGGATTCATTTAAAATAAAGAGAATAATATGTTATTCTAAATACAAAACAAAATATTCTTACAGAAGAAATTGGGGGGGGAGGAGGGGGCGGGAGGCAGTGACATCAAAATAACCTTTAATTTACAGCCTTTACAGCCWATACACAACCCAGACAGAATAGCTACCTATCCGTTAGCACTTGTACCTACGTTCTCATGCAATTCTTACCGTTTGGGTTGATTATATGGATAAGGTCCCCTGTTTGGAATGACATGAGGTTCTACAATCAATCTTTTAGTTTCCTCAGGTTTATCTTCATTTCCATCCTCTTCCTTTCTTTTCTTTCCTTTACCTCCCTTTATTGGGAAAGTTATCCTAGAACAATTTAAGTAGACATTTCAGAATATTCACTACATCAGRTTATTTTTAGAAACTTATACATTCTTGACATCAATAAGATGGATGCAGGGCTTCAAACAAGCTTGAAAGATTATTTCCTCCAAAATGCAAATTAGTCATCACAAGAACTAACCTGGGCAAAAAKGCATGCGCACGCACACACACACCAGATTATTCTTTCAAAAAGAAATAAACTTCAACTGTTGCTAACTTTTAAGGGAAATCATGCGCACTTTTTTGTTCTTCAGTCCAGTCCCCTATTCTCCAACAGCGTACAAGTAATGGATTGCATACAGCAGAGCAGAGGATGGTCTTAAGTGCTTCCGTAGTGTATGCTTGTTTCTGCTATGTAACAATTTAAAACCTTCTACTAAATTAATGTACATATTTCCTTACAAGAAAGAACACTTCCAACAGTAAACTCTCCTCCATCTGACTATGTGCTACAGTGAGAGTACTGCGAGATTAACAGATAGGGAATACTGGAAATTTTCAGATCACCTGAATGGAGGTATCTGAAGAACTGGATTGTCAACGGTTACTTTAATATCATATCCAGGAAAGCTGGCTTTTAAGTGATCAATGGAGAGAAAAGTATCGTTAAAATCCAGAGATGCAATCTGATTGGGCATTTTTGAGTAGTGTGCACTGCTTGGGTCTCCATAACCAAGAATGATGTCATGTAGCCAGTCAGGWACCACACAGTCCGTGTTCATCAAATTCCTAATTGTTTCCAGAACAGCCTGTAAATTACAAGAGAAAACAAACAAAAAATCCCACTTCATTAGAAAGTCAGACTACTTCCTGACAAGATGTGACATCCTSAAGACTAACCAAATTTTTCTGGATGCCAGCATGTAGTAGCGTTTTACTGACAGGTGTTTGGTAGATCTGAATCAGTTGCTATATATTCTGCTGATATCATTGCACACACAATGTATATAACAAACCATTAGTGTCATGAGGGTCATGGAATCTAATTCCTGAACTGTTAGTAAAGACAGAAGGAACATCACAGTCATCAGTAATGCTTTCATTCTTGAACATTCAAAGGGAGAAAGAGGCAAAATTCAAAACCCGCATACAAAATAAAAATTGCCTCCAAGTTGTGCTCCAAGTTTGTAGCCTGACTTTACAGTGAATGAAATTCACATTTAATCAATAATCAGATAAATTTCTGCAAACAGGTCCTCTCCAAGCCTTCTACAAGACAGTATGTTTGAAGTGAAAATATTTTAAAAGTTCTGCAAGTGAAAATATTTTAAAAGTACTGCAAAATTATATTCGTATAAGGAATATGAATACCAGGACACTTGCACATAACAGAGCATGGAACCTTATCCCACTTGTCTGAATTTATGCAGCTGGTTCCAGAGGGTGTATTTCTGTGCCCTTTTCACACTTGCACTGTATCTTTCAGGACATTAAGTAATATGGTCATCAGTTCTGTGTAAATATACAACATCTACACAGGCAATGAGGGTCCTACATCAATGCAGATGACTAAACTCCCTTTTAGACCTTTCATGCCTCTCATTTCAGTAAGCTTGACTTTGAAGAAAAGCTGTCTGGTCTCAAAAGCATAAGGAATTTTATTAACAACCTGGACGATGGAACAGAGCACATCCTTAACAAGCTTGCAGAAGAAAAGACTGGGAGGAGTGGTTGATGCAGGAGATCCTGCCAGTCAGAAGGCCCTCAATAGGCTAAAGAAATGGGCAAACAAAAAAAAAATTCCATTAAGTTCAAAAAAGTGAAATGCAGAGTGCAGCACCGTAGGAGGAATAAGATCACGAAGCAACACAGGCTGGGGCTGTGTACGAACCTGTGCATAAAGAGCTGATGGGAGAGAGCAAAGAAGATTGTGCCAGACTCTCCCCTCYGCAGTGCCCAGGGTTCTGCTTCTCGGCTGCTCCAGGGCTTAGTTCTACTGGGCAATTTTCCTGCAGTTCAGGAGCTCTCGCTCTTAAGGCTGTTGAACTGGTCTGAAAAGCCTGTCTGACTGCCCACAGCTAAAAGCAACAAGTCTTAGCAGCGCCTACCAAATCCAGATGAACTTCAATTCTAAGAATTGATACCCAATAACTTTACCTTGAAATTGTTTTCTTTTGGTTTTCTTCTCATTATTATATTAAATGTCTCATATACATCTTCTGCTCCATTTTGAATTGTGTTGGTCATATCTTGTTGATATTGGTTTGGATCCAAAAATATTCTGTATGTTCTGCATTCTCCTCTAAGTTTTGGTTTGGGTTCAGGTCCTGCCCATAATGAAACAAACAGATTATAATCCGAAGCAGTGCTAAAAAGCAGATTATCATTCAAATAAGCAATCCACATTYATTTCTGACACAGAATGTAGGCATGATTATACTGAAGCTCATTTCTGCATGGCAGTACAATTCTCTTCTTCCACATTTTTAACTCATTTCAAATAGTGTTTTTAAATGTCATCTATTTTATCAAATAGATTTTGTTTTTAGAAATATTTTCATCAAATTCACCCTTTTTAGGACRACTTCTGAATTTGGCCTGCTTTTACAAGTAGATAATTAATGCAACAAACATCACTTAAAAAGTAGGCAAATAAGCAATTACGCTAATTAAGAAGAGCCTTCCAGAAAGCTCTGGTGCACCTACCTTCCTCAATAACACGCCCTTTCTCATCCAGCATGCCCTGGATTTCACAGCCCCGCACATACACGAGGCCAGTCTGCTCAACGAAAGGTCGCCGTCGGTCGAACTTGGTGCCATAAGGTTGTGTGGGACGGACCGTAATCAGAAAACAGACATCATGTTTACGCAGACCTGATTCCAGAGAGGAACATTTAGTAATCTGATTGAATACTATTTTCCATTTTCCATTCCTTAAATAAAATACATATAGCAGAATACTTAAAGCTTTTAAACTAAAAWGCATTTGTTCAGAGCACAAAGTCTTCTGTTTTTACATACACCTTTAACTTAGTGGACCCAGAATCACAAGATATTGTTGCTTTTTCCACTACTCTTAGACCCYAAACCTGTGAGGATTCCAGATATGGAAAGACGGTCACTCAGCCAAGTCATCTCTTTTCCAGACTCTGCTCCAGTTCATAAATCCCAGTATGACCTGGCCAAGTGTTTTTCTTCTTCTCTCAGCAGCAAAATATTGTTGTTAAGTCACATTAGCTACTGAGCCATCATGAACTCAGATTCTTTTCTTTCTGCAGAGTTAATGCCTAACAAGTTATTTCCCCATCATGGATTTATGCAATGGATTACTCCTGCCTAAGTTTAGTATGTTATATTCATCCCTATTGAATTACATCCTATTTTTAAATGTCCATTTTTCCAATTTGCTGACGTCATTCTGAACGCTAATCCTTTCCTGCAGCATACCTGCAGATTCCCACAGATCTGTGAAACCTTCCAAATTTACTGAACAAATGCTGTATTCCCTTACATGATTAACAGAAACTTTTAAGAGAAACAAGAAGAGATTCTTTCCGAACCTCACTAGAAGGATCCCTTTCATCAAAGGTAATTTGTTACTTATTGGTTATCATTATCCTTCTTAAAGCAGCTGCATCACAACTTTGTCAGACATTTCTTCCTCCAAGTCCCGATTCATCAATAGCTTTGAATACCATCTCATTTAAAGCATTATCATTTCAGAAACCACAGCTCAAGTAATTAAAAGTAAGTGCACTGCTGTAAGAGTGTATGCGTATGCGCGTGTGAATATATAAGGAATAAATTAATGCCATAATAAGGATACTGGCTTCTAGGATATTCCTATAAGCTCGCAACCAAGAGGACATGACCTATTAATGAATGCTAGAGTTTTACCATCATCAATTAAATATCAATACATGAAGGAAAAAAAGGCACATTAAAAAGACTGCTGAGAAAACACTGAAGAGTATAACTACATCAAAGGCAGCTATCTGATTTTAGGAACATATGGATATAAAATTTCATGGTGTTGACCCTATTAATTCACCAGGTAAGTCTTTCCATCCCATGCCAAGTCATTAAGTTATAAAATCTCAACCTGAAGAGCTTAAAAGCAATCAGAAACTCTGCTGAATCAGAAGCAGTGTAAGAAATTACCTGTTTAATCATAAGGTCTCTCAAATTTGATCTTAGAGAAGAAGGATGAATGATAAAGGAATATCACATGCTATAAACCCTCAATACAGTGTTGAAGTATATGAAAAGGCAACGTATTTTCCAAATAATTAAAAAAGTGAATAAAAAAATCAAGAAGGTGATTTGTAACAGAACATGTCCTTGTAAGGAGGCAAACACAGAAGTGGGAGGTTTTGGACAAAACTGAAACACCGATCCATGTGATGAACGAAAGAGGACCACATACTAAGAGACAGGAAAAGGCCAAGAACGAAGGTGTAGAGTGTATTCTAAAAGAGCTGCAGGGTTTTGTCCCAAGTTCAAGGTAACTCCTTTAAATGCTCTGCTAACCTGTGTAAAAAGCGAGATGTCAAACTACCGTCAGAGTCATGATGACTTCGCTACCATTAAAGCTCCTGGTTCACTGACCGAAGGCATACAGAAGTTTACAAGACCTGCTGATACCTCCGGGGTAACATCATCCAGCCAACATCCTCTAACCTGACATCAATATTCTGAACATCACTAATGAGAAACCATGTGAACAGAAATTTCCATTSCCAAATTTCTATCTGTTGATGCATTTATCCCATGTTCCATCTTTTTGCATGTGTGTTGTGTGACCTCTAATTACACTAGGCACCTCCAGCACATCTAATATGTTTATCTAGGAAAAGAGAAGGGAGTGACATTTACTGATAATCCAAGCACAAATATGTGTTTCCAAGTCACTTGCCAACGAAGTTAACTGAATACCGGCTCCCCAAACAAAAAAGTAACACCTGGGGATACTTCTAAGAARCACAGTGTTATTTTGTTGTCAGGAAATGCTGACTGTACTGTCAGATGTATTGAAGACTAAAAACACTATTTTGAACTAAATCGAAGTCTGTCTTTGCCATTTGTATATGAGACAGATTACATGTTTCCCCACTACCCTCCCAATGGGACATTACTACCATGCACATTCATTTTATAGGCTAGCTTTCCCATTACCTTTAACAGSTTAATTTCACAAACTGAAACAGTATCTGTGTGAAACAGTAAACTCCCTTAGTGAAGTGATTAGTACTTTAATCATCTTCAATGTTCCTATAGGAAATTCTCTTTTTTCCTAGATTTGGAATCTGAATAATTCAAACAGCACATTAAAACCTGCAAATCTTCAACTCAGATACAAAACCTTTCCTTAAAACAAAGTCAAGGAGGACRCTCTGAGGAAGCCCCACTTGCAGAACCCATTTCACAGCAGGCCAGTACCTTCCCATTCATCCTTGATGCTGTCGCGGACGTTCAGGTTAATGGTGACGTCCGCTCGCACCCGCATGGGCCACGTTTCCCCAATGTTGGGCTTCGCCACCTCCACCACTGTGAAGGAGACAATGGGCTGGGCCATTCGAGCCCATCCACCGAAGACCACGCCTCCATACTCTGATAGCCTAAAATAAAACACATAAATAAAACTTACATTGTGAATATTATACCACAGAAAGCTCTAAGGAGAAAAGTASAAGCTTTAATTTTACAGATTAGTGAACTAGCTTTGTATCATCCTTCAGTTTAGAGCTGAAGGGTAACATGAATATACTTACTTTTACCTTTCAAAAAAAATGAAGGCAACTCATGCTGGCATTATAAAAAAAATACCAAAGTCAGAGAGAGGTTGATAACAGGCAGGTTGATAACATACAGAAAGAGATGAAATCAAATGAATCCCCAAAATCTAAAGAGCTCATAATGTGACAGAGGGCAAATGAAGAACATACAGCAACACTTTTCATACAACAGAGAAAACGGTGATATAGGTTCCAGTATCCACACAAATCAGTCAAGGCTCAGAACTTTGAGTATAGTTCATCTTTGTTAATACAGCAAAGGCTGTTGGTTAGCATCCAACATAATGTCTATCACACCTCTACTGGGATACAAATGAACACTTGCAGAGTCATCTCTCAGGATGGCAGCAGTTTTCGAAAGCAGTTAGTATAGAATATGGTACCTTTATGTAAAACAGGGTAATTGTTACACATTTAGTAAGCACACAGCATCACTTGGACATTTTCAAGTATGTTTTCATTACAACTTAAGTTAAGCTGACTGGTTTGTGCCACTTAGTAACTATTACCATGGTTTCATCCTACTGACGCTGTCTTCAATGTCCTGTCTGATCTCGTAGGTTGATTCTAACCGGAAGAGGTTGAAGTTCCTAAGCAGGTAGTCRTGAAGAGTCAGAAACTGTAAATTCAGTTTGGGAAGCGCAAGACAACCTAAGGAAGAAGTGGAAGAGATATTTGATGGTTAAACAGAAAGAAGATGGGATAAGGCATTGATTCTACATATGAGAAAACATTTAAATATATTATTCTACAGCTTTCTTTCTAAACAGTGCATATACATTTTCTTCTCTCCCTCCCTCCCAAAAAGAAAAAAAGTTTAGTTTAATGATTAAAGGAGCTTCCAGTCTTTCTGGCAATATATATCTAACTATTTAAAGACTGAATCCCTCACTGTCTGTAGGCTACCACCAAACTAGTTTTATACAAATAAAATATGGGACAAAATATGGGACACGGTATCCTGTGAATTTAACATTTAAGACAGCAATTAGTAAGGACAAAAAGACTTACTAACTAATAAACAGTACATTTTTCAACAATTTGCCATTTCCAATTCTTTATGTGCAGCTTTATCCTTGAAACTTTTAATCTGTGTAAATGTCACATATGGGCTCTAACCTGAACAGAGATTCTCTCAGGTGAGATTTCACCCGAGATTTTCAGTGAAGAAAGGTGACAGAACACAGTAACACAGTTTTCTATTTAGGAAAGCCAAATGGTGATATAAAAAAAAATTAAAAAAAAAAATAAAAAGAAACCACACCACTTTAACACATTTTTCATCACCAAGAAACAAACCTGACCTGTAAAGCTACTTATATGCAAAGGGTAGGACCTGAAGCAACACATTTTAGGGCTGTCTAGACTTTTTTTTCTCCTACTTCCCAACTTCCTTCTGAGTTACAAGCACTCTTGCAAGGAAACACGAGCCAGAGAGAGGATTACCCTGATTCTTTCAGTTTTCTTAAGAATAAACTTTACCAGGAAAACTTATTCAGAAAAAATTGAAATCACCATTAAACTACTTCTATGATACTCAAAGGAGACGTGCTCCTTACACACCTAATCCTTGGTCAGATCTCTAAGTAACATTGACATGACTGTTTGTAAAAAGATCCTTTGTTGAAAATATACCCAAGAACAACAAAAAACCCTACATCTGTGAACCAAAAACAAGTGGAAGAAAGAACATTCACTGCTCAAACCAGAAACATACTTTGTACTGTGCTTTGAATATGGAATTGATATGCATTGATACAGATTTAGCATTTTAAAAATTACAACAGTCTTAAAAACATTAGACAAAATACAAATGCTGTTTATTGCCAAGTAACAAATTCCTTCCTTCTTTGCCATAMCTGCAGTTTACTTCCTTGATTCTTCCTTGCACATCTGAACTACAGTGCACGTGCTACATTTCAAAGTATTCATATATTCTTACACTGAAATGAGTATTATTCTCCTCCTGCCTTTTTTTGTTTTTTAAAAACAGCCCTTCTTGGACTTGCTTAGAAACAAAGCATGCATGAAAGACATTGCCCTTCATMTTTATAGCCTGATTTATCACACAGTAAACTCCTAGGAAGCAACTGGTGGTAACAGCACATTTGTTATCCAGTTTAGGAGTAAAAGCTCTGAGATTAAATTGTTAAAAACAAAAATCCAATGTTCCTGAGTCAAGATGTAAACAGAAATCATGAAGAAGTTGAAAGCCTTGAGAAGGCTATTCCCTGAAAGACTGAAAAATGCTTAATTACTACATATAAGTTCTAAAGACAGGATGAACATAGACATCAGGAATACTCATTTTCAGCATTTACAGTCTCAAAGTTACAGCATTTAAACTTGCAAAATCATTCAAAGATCCATTTGAATAAAACACAAATTCACCAAACCACCAATCATACCTTCTCCAGAATAATACTCAGTTGGGACAATATTTTCATCCCAAATAATCTTCTCTGTGGGATAAAGGGGCATTTGATTGAGCTGCTGAATTTGAGATATTCGTCGCTCATGACGGGAAACCTGAAGAAGAAAGGATGCATTTGAGATGAACATAGGTTGAAATGGGACTACAAAGCTATCTCTGATAAACYTGTATTAAACCACTAGATGTCCAGTGATTATATATGTTATTACTCGCCATTTTCTCAGTTTAAAAAAAGCTTTATTTTCTATTAATTACAACTGAAGTCATCTACTGACAAGAGAAGATTAACTTGGTCCAAGTAATCAAGCACAGTTCTAGTGCCCAACAATCATTTGGTTACTGAACCAACCAAAAATGGCACAAGAGCTGAAGATATTCAGGCTTAGCAGACAATTGACATAAACTTTTTCTTTATTAGTTAACTGTAACACTGACCATCTAGCAATAGCTAGTCTTAGCTTCTTATTTGTGAAAGAAAAAAAAGAAAAAACCTATAAAAGTAAGTCATCTGAACAAATATTTCCTCGTGGTATCTGTAAATATATTACCAAGCATCTAAATCTGAGGAAGCTATCTGCAATTTTTAAAGAAAGAATCAAACGGAAAAATAACTCAGTGAAAAGGATCAAAACCCAGCTGTGCTATCCTAATTTTGGTAACTATTTAAAAGCCTATAATAATGCTGATATTGTCAGAATATCTTCAAAAGCAAATATTATGTGCAAAGGAGATTTCAAATAACTTAAGACCCCAACAGACTTTGAATAACTAGCTCTGTGTTAGTAATAATATTTAAGGTAACAAGAAGTAACTAAATAAACAACAACAGAGCAGAGGATTCAAATATTGTTGCTGATCAACACCGATGATCATCTCGGACATATACACAGTAGTTTCTCAGAAATGACACATTAATAGATCAAGAGTTCCAAACAGCTAATTTATCATTAGGTTTTAGACACTATCTTAGAACTCAAATCACCGCCGTCACACTGTGCTGGCTCACAAGCGGCCCACAAAAATGATCTAACTGGGTACTTTACAAGACTAGAGTTGCTAAACCAGGCTGTTATCTTGAGTCTGCGGATGAAAACRGGCACGTGCGACATGACTTGCTGTGCACTGATGGCTTTACCAGCAGCTCGAGCAGGAACTCCTTCTCGTGGGCCGTGTGGGCGCCGGGAGGCAGGGCGGGCAGCAGGCAGAGGTGTGAGGCCACCTGGTGGAGCACGTCCGGGCTGCACGGGAGAGCGGAGAGGCGCTTCAGCGAGGCCCGCGGTGGCACCGCCACCCCAAAACTGCAGCTAGCAACTTCCAAGGGCAGCAACTCCTGCCCAGGATTCTAAGCTTGACACAGTTACTTAAAATATTTGTTCTAGAGCACACCCCCTGCGTCTGTCAAAATACGGACTACCGCTCTACTAACCACAGTACTGCAACATGGAGCAGTCAATACAACGCAGTCAATAAAATAGTACAGATTTATTACTTCTATTACAGATTGGGAGAAAGCAAGATTTTTTTTAATTAAGGTTAATGAGTATAAGGTAATTGTCGTTGAAGTTATTTTAAGCAACAAAACTAGTGCTTTCTCACATTCATTAGAAAAGCAAAGTATTTACTAGTTTCTCATAGTGGCTCCAAACTCTCCCTTTTCCCCCCCTATTTCAATTAAAGGCAATAAAAAAGAATAAATATTAATTGCTCTTCTTAGAATGAATAGTCATAAAAAAGAAGTTTGCTAAATTAAAACATAATGAGAAAACTTTAGTTTCATGTTGAATTTCTTTTTGATGACTTACCTGAGAGGCCCAAAAAACTTCACTAGTGACTCRCGAGCATCTACTGCAGCTACATTTGAGAGTGCAAAGTCATAAAGCTCTGGGAAATGTGCAAACGCTGCTTTCTAGAAAACACCCACACCCAAAAAATGAATGTAAGTATGTTAATGAAAAAAATTAATAACAATTTAAACATTCACACATTAGCAAAGCTTCCTCTGCTTCAGAGCACACAGCATTCATTCTGTGGACACTGCCAGAGCATAAAAGCTGCAGTAAAATCTCCATCTTTCCTAGTTAGCACCACCTCTTCATAATTCCATTACCTTTCTGAAACACCTCCCATCAATATTTGCCAATTTAGTCACTAAAACAAAAATATGACTGGACAAATATGAACCTTGGAGACTAAGAATAGCAACAAGATACAACATTTTATTTATGAAAATGACCTCAGTATTGTTAAAAGTGATCAGAAAATATTTGAAAAAGAGTAGCTCTATCTTTGTGTAACTACAGGTGATCTTGGACCTCGATTTGTCCAACGGAGCACTGCCTGCGCTATGCAAGCGAGCAGATTTTGAAGAAATGGTGCCACCTACTGCATAACATAAATTAAACTCTTACCAAATTTTCCTCYGAGTATTTTTAGTGGACACAGGCCACTTTCAATTTAAATGAAAACATCAAACCAAATGTGGTTTTACTTTGGTAGAGCAAATTACAGGACTGTTGATCCTGACTGCAACTTTATTTAGGTTCTCTATATTGACTATTTATTTTTACCTTATCTACATACATAACATGAAGTACCAATGAAGTCTTCAAGATAGTATGGACAAAAAAAATCTGTAAATCAACATGGGAAAAAAAMATATAGCTTTGCTTTTGGAAATAACATCTATTTTAGTAGCAGTTTCAGTTAACAGAAACATATTTCTCCTCTCCCGTAAACGCTTCAATCTCTTCATACCTGTAAAGATGTGATTCTGTCATAATGAATTGTTGTCATCTCATTCTCTGTCAAAGCATTTCCAGTCTGATCATTGATTTCGAAGCCAGCGTAGAATTTCAACATATCTAAAAGCTGAGACATCATGCATATAAATTAGTGGATTAACAGCGAGACAGACAATCTACCACAAACAAAAACACACCTCCACAGGAAAAGGCCAGGCATCACGCACAAAAAACAGCCTCTCAAAGTACTCAAGGAAATAGACTAAAGAGTTGCATCTATGTTTTATTTTTGGCTGATGCACAGAACAACTTTGTTTGGAAATCTCATCTAAAATTCAAATAAATTATATCAGAGTCCATAGCTAGAGAAGTTTGTTTTTTTKTTTTTTTTTAAATACATTTGATACAAGACTTTAAAGACCTCAAACTGAAATAATTACCCTCCTAGACAGGAGTTCACAAGAGCACTTAGCTACATAATTTAAAGGACAGTAACAAACAAAAGCCCCATTGTAAATGGTCTTATTTCAAAAACAAGGATGCATTTCAAAAATGCATCAGTGACATGACTTATGCTATATGCTAGGTTAAGCATGCCCCTGATAAACATGCAATCTAGAAAACAGTGCAGTTTAAAACCTGCTCAAAAACAGAGCCAAAAACATAAAAGCAGACTCACATAAGCACAGGTAAGAAAAGACTATCATCTTAAGGATTTAAATAAAACAGCAGTTCCTTCTATCAGAAACATTCCCTCTGGAACAAGAGAAYATAAAACACAGTGGTGGCAATACTGAGAGACACACAAGAGTGAAAAAGCATTTCCAACAACTTTGAACCTCACCTGGCAGAAGAGGTGACCCTCCTTCTCTCTCTTGGCAAGACTTGACAGGTAACAATGCACCACAAGGTGGGAGTCATCCAACACGGTATTAAACCAGCGCCGTGTGGGAAGTAAGGCCTGGGATACACAACCTTACATTAGTACAAGGAATTCTTCCAAACTTTAGATATGCTGGTTTCTCATATTTCCATTTCAAGAAGGTTTCAGAATTTTTCAAATCTGAGTAAGAGCTAAAAAAGACACCACTTTATGCCTATGTGAACACTCTAAGCTGCTATGTGTGGAAATTGTTTAACAGCCAATGGCAGGACCCCTTAACAAACCCCAAGAAAAAAAAAATGAAGTTAGTTGTTCTCAATAGAATTTACAGATTGAGTTTAGAAAACTAGAAATCACATAGTGCTAAGAACTTCATCAAACAAGTGTCTCTAGTAGAGAGCATCAGTTGCCATGCATAGTCATTGCAGAAAAAAAAAGTATGCGAGCTTTTCTTGAAGTCATCCCTTTCAAATGACCAAATTAGTTTTGATTAGAGTACATATAATTAACATGAATCAGAAATATCTTGAACAAAAGGTCTCAATATGTGCAAAAAACTCATTAACAATAAACACTGAGGCAGAAAGTTTTGGTTTTTTTAAGTTAAGTTTCTGTGATTGTTCCAGTCACTACAACAAYCTTCATACACTCCAAATTCTAAACCTGTTTACTTCAGTGTCAGAGATGATAGGTGTTATCAACTTAACATCCAATATATCTCTTCTTAGGGTGTATTATGGCCCTAAYACAATGATATTTAATTGAAAGAATCCTTTCTACTACAGGTCTACACTACTCAAGGGATTTAGGAAAGGAGTTAGCCTGCATGAGTTCAAGAACAAGCTGCTTCAAAAACCCTGTACTTACTGTTGCTGTAAATTCTATTTCAGAATGTCTTAAGCTGAAATTTTTAAAATAAACTGCTAGTCCAGAGAGAAATTATCATCTGAGGTTTTATTTTTTTAATTCTGGTACTGTGAAGTTTAACACTGTCTTGTTTTCTCAGTATCTGCCTGTAATTTCACAAAATCTCACTTGGCTTCTTCATTATTCTATAACAAACCTAGATCCTCAAAACCATCCAACCACCTGTTTTAAATAATGAAATATAGTCAACTGGAAAGAGTTTGGAATTAAGAACAACATATGTCTCCTGGGGCTATAACCTTCAAGAAAKGTACTTTAAGTGGCCTATAAAATATTAGGAAGAAGAGTCTCAGATTAATACAAATGGATTAAAATTTTATATACTCCCATTAATCGCCAGAATTACTACCACTACTCTCAAAGTCCTCCTTGTTGAGCAATTCAGGATTGTATCTTTCACTAGTAGTTTGTCTGACTTATATAAATATTACTACCCAGATCCTGAAAGGGCAGTATGGCTATAGCCTCCYACTTAGAAATAGGAAATCAATATTAAATGAACATATGCATTATTATTCCAGGTAATATGATTATATTGCAAAGTTGTGACAGCATGAGTAACATTTGATGCATGCAAAAAAATAGCAGAGTGGACCTGGAAACACACYGTAAGTAATTTTGCAACTTACCTCAAGATCTATCATGAGTTCAATGAACCTCTCACAATAATGAACTTTGTCCATAGATACAGGACCTAGATTCAAATTAAAAATTGTTAAGCAAACTAGCAGATCAAGATGGCACTTGATCCACACYACATGCTATTTGCATTTGAATTGTTCTAAAAACAAAATAAAAAAATGCTGCTATCAGAAGTAGCCTTAATAAGATTAGATAATTAATACACTTTTCTYTTATTCTGAAACAATTCTTTCCTTAATTCCAAATCAGATGACCTTTTAACATAAGAAAGTAGCGGAATTAGACATTCAGCAGCAACTTTATTCACTGGGAAACAGWCAATGTCTTACATAAAAAGAAAAGTTTGCTCAACCTTCAACAATACACCAATAGCCCACTGCCTGTGAATGCTAAGCTTCTTAGAAACATTTCATTTTGRGTTCCCAAAACATCTCCTCACTTTTGTATATACCTTCACTACAGTTTTTAAAAACATCTGCAGTATTTTAAAGGTGAAGCGGGTGAAGCAAATTTTGCCTTGTAATGGACTGTGTGTGCCTGGTCAGCTAAAGTAAGATAATTTAAACCACCATAAGCTCATAAAAGCACTCCTTGCTCCACATCCATAAAATCTCTTTAGTCTAAATATGAGAGGTATGTATGTAACAAGTGTGCTTAGTTGATGTTGAGTCCCCATTGGACCTGCTACTAGGTTAAAGTACAGTCAGCCCACATCAACTGTATTTAAATACAATCACACTAGGGCAAGAGCAGCATGAACAGTCTTGAGGAAAACTGAGACATTTCTTACGGAACCTTCAGAATCAAGTGAAAACAGAACTTTAAGTCTGCTTTAATGAATACATCTATTTTCTAAAGCCTCCATATGACTGCTAAGGTATTTTATTGTAAAACTGGTCTTGCATAAGTGGGAAGATAGAGGTGCAAACCCATTTTAAGGAAGAAATTTCATTCAGGTAAGAGCTGAAGCTTTCTAAGAGTTTAAGAGCAAAAACAGAACAGGAAGCAATTTTGCCCAAACTATACAACACTGTTAGCATGATAAATCGTAGGGGTTTTTTTTTGTTGTTTTTAAAGGCTAACAGCTTCCTGTACAAACAATTCTCTTGTCTAAATCAGGCAAGCATACAATTTTCTTGTCATAATGACTCATACGTAAAGAGCAGTCAAATCTTACAACATTTCACTTTAGGGTTTTGTTCCAACCATAACTCAATGGTACTGACAGAACAGAGCATTACGATATGTATTTATAACACCTGCTCAACAAAGCATCTAAATGTGCACTGCAATGATTTAGTGCTGTAAGAAGCACATAAGCAGATTATGATGAATATCACTATTCAACATTTTTTAAGTCTGCAACTGAACACAAGGAGTTTTAAAGCAACCTTCTGCTATTTCAGTTCTAACTTTGACATTAGATCCATAGAAATAGATTTTTCATTTAAAAAAAAAAATCATGTCTCTAACTTCATTCGTACAACTATTGAATAGTTGCTTCAGCAGCAGAAAAGAATTTAAGATAAAGACACAGCAAAATAAACATAAGGACCAGTTACCTGACACAGGTATTGATTTTAGCACAGAAATGAATTTCTGAATAAGCTGTGAAAGAAATCTTCTCTCCCGATAGGCTCTAAAACAAGATATATGACAAAAGAGTTAGTATCACTTAAAAACAGAATACAAGTTTATCCTACCTTTAGGTTAATTATAGTAAAATTTATGCAAAGATGACTATTTGCTTTGAGGTCCTTTCTAAACTGTTTGGATCATAATTTGTCCTTTCCACTAAAGCAGACAGGTTAGCAGGGCCCACATTTTTAAATCACACAGAGCACTAAGCTGTGTACCCTTGCTTACACATAAGTCAAAGAGTGACTCACCTTACCCACACAGCAACATAAAAGTATTTGAAAGAGCTTATTTTAGTAATACATACACAAGTTTATTCAAATAATTTATTAGTTATCTGTATACGAGTTAAATTTTTGATAAATGTCATTAAAAAAGTATCAGTAGCTAAATATTCTCCTGTGACTTTAAACCTACAGCTTTAACATTTAATATCATAATTTCAGTGTTCAAATAAAATATCTTATAATAGTATTTTGCATGAAAAGTCTTRGAAAACACAGTTTCCATGAGACTAAAAACGATCAATCCCTCATTTGCAATCCTTGTTTCTTTTCCCCCCCCCCAATACATTTTTTCTTAGTCAAAAAAATTATCCTAGGTAAATTATAATGAACGCAGGGACAGCTTTTGATTCAACAGGAAAAGATTTTTTCTGTAACATACTGCATTCTTGCTTTCTCATCCATCTTCTCATCATTTTTCTTTATGAGATTCCAGAATTTTTTTAGCTTTGGTGTCTTTTTCAATTCTTGTTCCAGACGTTTCTGGAAAAGATAAAAATTATTATTCAATCATTAAGAATCTTTGTTCTCACACAAGTGTCATCCAGTTTCCTTACTAAGGAAAAATATGTAACACCCTGAAATAAACATCTTTCTCAGACTAATCTAAACAGATAGCACTGAAGAACATGAATTCAATAGTGACAGACAGAGCTTACTCAAGTATTTACTAGCCATGGCTAAATGGTCTACTGGGTTATTGAAACCTAACTATTCCAAAATTAAACTTTTTAATATGACATATCAGAACACTTCGGCCAAAAAAAAAAATTGTACTTTAAATTTCATGCTTTCAGCAGTTTAATAAAAACTTGATAATGAAAGAAGTTACTTTAATATGGAGACTTTCAACTGTGATATAGGAAAACTTGATATGAAATTTCATCTTATTTTTCTGTATTCAAAAACAAAATGGCTCATTAAAAAAAAAAAAAGATCACATCAAGTAATTTCTCCTGGAACTGAGGAAAAGATATCACTGCACTGCCACAACTAGTTCAAGCTTGTAAGTAAAGGTGCACAGATTTGCATTGGGATGTAGAAAAATAAGCATAGAAGAAATCCATAAAATCAAAGCTTATACTCTTGTTAGCAATAAAAAGCAGCCACAATATATTCAAAAATCTCACAAACTCTAAGATGTTTCATTTCACATGGCATTAACTCTACAAAATAAACTTGTATCTTACATCTGTATGTTTTCAATATACAAAGTATACAAAGGAATCAGAGCAACTATATTTTCACATTTTAGTTTCAATGTGTTTGGATGTCGAAGCCTTATTTCTTTTATTTCCTAGATTTTAAGTCAAATGAAAAAAAATAAAAAAATATAAATTAAAAAAAAAAAATTTCCAACACATGGGAACATACTGACTTGCACATAAGTCTAAAGTAGGAAAAAACTTTTTTCTGCCATAGGAAAATTTCTGCTAGCAAGCAAGAGATTTACCTAGTAGACTCACCCAAGAAATTATGACAAAATGAACAGTTTGTCACTCAGGTGCAGGAATCTTTGCACAAAGAATAAGCACTGTGGTTCAATAACTTCAAATTCTACTTCTGAGGAATGTTCATATACGTGAGTGGCGTACCCAGCTCTTTATCACTCCCTCAGTCTCAGCAGGCTTTCTGTATCCCTCCCTTTTCCAATGTTTTCTGTTTCCACATAAGTTCTACTTCTTAGCCCCTACAGTCCTGTGACATTGTCTCCAAGTTACAAGCTTAGAAAAGCTGTAACAAAACTAACAGGTACACTTACACACCTGCAACAAACAGGGAATCCAATTACATGAAAATTCACAACCAACTGAAAGGAGAATTTTATCAAGCATATAAAATATGGTCTTTTAGCATTGAAGAAAGCATTGTATTAGTCTTCCTAAGCTGCCAGTACACAGTTCGTATTCCAAGTCTCACATACTGCCAGAAGACTGTTTTGCCTGTTTACAGTGTCATGCTTACAGGTTGTAGAGCCATCCACATTGGTAAGGAAATGAGCTGCTGCACCTGGCCTCTGATCAAGTCCACTTCCTGTTAAAAAGTTACAGAGAGAAAAGGAACCTTTAAATATCTTAAATTGTCTACTGTGCCTGTCTTGCATGTGTTTTTTTACAAAACAGATCAGTGGGAGTTACCCTTAGAATTTTTTTAATTGATATTTACATCGCTTTATTAGACTTTGCAGATTTCCTAACAGGGAAATGCACAATAATCCCATCCAGTAACTCCAACTGCTGACAACTTTCTGAGTTCCTTTCATGGAATCTGTCAGTTTTTAATACTTTGCCTGGAGTACCATTCCCATAAGCATTTTAGCAYAGGAACTGATGAGAACCAATGTTATTTTTTTCAGTCATTTCTGTATTAATTTTTACTCTGCCCTTTCCCTCTTTTGCCCTTCATTCATCAAGTTTCTCCACATGATTTACTGTCTTCCCACTATCTGAAATAACTCTATATCTGAAATAACTATCTGGAATAACTTTTCTCCCTAATTCATGTACTATCAACTGTTGTTTCAAATCTTCACCTCTTCTCAGAAACTCTGGCCACAAAGTTTCTTTCCTTCCTAATCTACTGAGAAACTTGCACTGACATCTTAAGTATCATTTCAAGGACAAATGCTTCATATTCTCAGCATTTTAAATCTTCACATCTGAATGCTCATTATTTAACACTATAGCAACTATTCTCTTCCATATGTGTAGTGTCTAATAGCAGTTTGCTTTTACATGCACTATTATGCTGTCTTCTMTATGACAGAGTAGCAAGTATTCTGCTTTTAAGTGTAAAATACTGTCTTAATATAAATCCGAATTAAATTAAAATTGCACCTGGCAGCAAGTGCTGCTCACTCAAGTTTTGAGTCTCTCACTTTTATGWCCTTGTACCACACTAAAGTAAACATGGTGAGAGAGACAAAACAAGAGTAGAAAACGGGGGTAAAGGACTTCTCTACACAAGAAAAAAAATCTGAAAAATAGAAATTTGCATTGGTCTCTTCCCTAAGAGCAAGGAATCTGTCTAAGCACACAAATGCACAGCCACTCTTTATCTGGAGCATACCAAACTATTGAAACAGTGATCAAGGAAAAGTAGGAGGACTGTCTGTTCATGTAGAGAGAATTCACTGTCATTTTCAACCAAAGATTCTTCCAGGATGCACTTGAAGAAGAAGGGAAAGTGTTCTGGCTTTTTCTTGAATGTCTAGGAATAGAAGTGGAAATTAATTTAGAGTCAAGAACATACACATTATTTCAATCTTCATTCATATAACACAGCTTTGAATTTAAAATCCATTTAAACCTCAGAAAGGAGAGATTYTTTTCATTTATTCTTTATCACAGTCAGACAGCACAAACAAAACAAGACTAGTACTCTCGTGACACGAGACATGGCGATCCTGATGTGGACTATGGCAAAATAACTGAACAGCAGCATAGCAGCTGTTCATTAACTGATAAAACTGAGCAGGTAGAAGCCTCACTTAATTACAATTATGGAACTAACCCTTAACTATCTCAGGGTTCCCCTACTCAACAGGAAAAAAAAAAAAAAAAGGCAGAATATCTTCATGGGCAGTCACCCACCAAGCAGAAGATTTAGATAAGGTGCCTCTCCCTGCCGTTTTGCTTCTGGTTCCTATGCCATAACAAAAGCTGTACAGATCTGCTCATGTCACACACATGAGTTACCAGTCCTTTTTACCACTGCAATACTGGCACTGTTATTGTAGTAAGTGTGCCTCTGAAATGGCATTCATAGAGCATTTCTACCTAGCTCATCTCGAGTCATCTGTGAGAATTGGATCAATTATTTTTGAACCTACTATTATATAAAACAACACATACGGAAGTCACACAAGACATAACTTTAGCAGGAAATTTCACATCAGAAAGCTACAAAAATCATACTTGCAGGTTTAAAGCATGACATTATGAGATAAACAGAACAGTAGACTTCCAGTGATACCTTTACCTCCATTAAAAACAACAAAAAAAGAATTATTCCAGCAGAATACCTCTCCAAATGCCAGACTTGTCAAGTGCCTAAAAAAGCAAATGCTGTTGATATATAAGGGCATCACAGCAAAACAGAGCATTCACACACTAAAAGGCACCAAGTGATCTTTCACTTGACCAYTGTTTTCTCAGAGAGAACAAATTATTTTTTAAAACACCGTGACAGAAATTTKGGGTAATTCTTCCCACTTCCTTTTAACACTGCAAGATTTGCTACTTTCTGTTCATTTAAGCAATCAGACTGCAAAAGCTGCAACTTGTRGATCAAAGTCAATTCTAGCTGTAATTGAAATTGGTTACCTCCCACGCAGGGACATTCTCTCTGAACTTCTCATTCACCATACAGCAGATTGACATTAAATATGCCTTACTGGACACCTCTGGAGAATAATTCATCCATAGGTAATTTTCAAGATACTGGCTGTGAAGATACAAAAATTGTTTCATTAGTTTCTGCCACCCACATCATCTGTCASTCATCTGAAAAAGCAGCTATCCACAGGGTCTTCTTCCTCCTCCTCATATCCATCTTCTTGATTTGTGAGTAGTTCCTGAAGTTACCTCTCGTCTAGGACACTGTACAAAACTCATTCATGGTTGACTAAAGAACATCACAGGCAGCACTTCCTCGCATAAGATGCGAACGTCAACTTTCTTAAGAGAAAATTCACAGCATATTATTTTACAGGATTTCCACTATTACATATATTTTATGAAAGGAAACATCTATACAGATTTTATGCTTATAAACATCATTAAAAGCAATTACAGTATTACCTCACAGCATAACTAAGCAAAACCTTATAATGGGAGTTATTAAATGATTTCAGTAAGGTGAAACAGAGAGAGAAAGAGGAAAAAAAAATACTGTCCCAACCATGTAATGGATCTCTTGTTCCCTGAGTTTAGTTGCCTATCATATCAGAGGTGAGCAACCAGACAGGAACAGCTTCCCAGCAATAAGATTTTTTTTCTTCAGTAATATGACATTTTTTTCTAGGAAAMAGTTCTAAAATTACAGTGCAAATACGAGAGAAAACTTGGAGCATCTCTCTTCCTAAACTATCCATGCAGGCCAGCTACTCCTGAAGAGGCAATCCATAAATCCAACCTYTACAGTGATACACTTATGCCTGCTGCTAATTCAACATCTAGTTGCCAGCAGAAAGAAGATGATCCTGCTCYTTCCTAAACCTGAGGCTGCCCAGGCATTCCTCCCTTTTGAAACCAACTCTAACATTCATTTGGCTTCTCAAGAGCCAATTCTTTTTTTCTAACATGGCTAAAACATCTATTTACCTTTTCCACAGATAATTCTTATGATACCTTGCAATAAGGTAGTTGAACCCTTTCAGATAAGCCTGACAGACAGAAGAAAGGCAGCGAGAGCAGGGCTGTCGTCAGGAGCAAGGGACTCAGACACAGAAACGTTTCCAGAACCTTAAACAGAATGGGGGCTTCGGGGGGAGGCTAAGAGAGTTTCRTGAGTGTGTTTACAAATTGGAAGACAGAGCATTTCCCCAGAGCTTACAGAATCAGGTGCAGTGCTTGCATCTCCCATAGGGAAAGAAAAAAAACCCTGAAGCTTCATATTCCATTTTTCTCCCCAAACTGCAATAAACTTCAGTACATTTAATAAAAACAATCTTAACACCTTCCTTCCAAGCGAGAATAAATGTACATGCAATCTCTTTAAATCTAAAGAATATATAATTATTTCACRTGTGTGAAAACAGCAGAGTGAGACTGTAAAAGGGACAGAGTGGTGAAAGAAAATGACTTTCAGGACATACGGCAGTAGATGGGGCTATATACCAAAATGTGCTAGTTACATTCAACGTTACATGCTGATAACATGAAGAAAGAATGCTCACAGAAAACATTAAAATACTAACTACACCTTACTTCTTTGTACTGGTATAAATTCCACACTGGTATGCCATTCAACATCCACAAACTGTATCTTACTTCTAAACAGATTTCTTTTCAGGTGAAGAAAACTGCATTGATGCTGCTGAAGCAAAACTCTTTTTTTCTCCCCCAAGTACCAAACTTAAAGTTTTAGAGTGTAGCCATTCATGAATATGCCATCCTCAAATTGATTTACWGGTCTGAACTTGTTTCTTACATTTACTTTCATCTGTTGCTACAGAAAAGTAATTTAAAATTTCACCTCAAATAGCTTACCTGAATTCAAGAAGCATTATCTTCCTAATAGCAAATCTAAAAAGGAGGGGAAAAAAAAAATCAATTAACACACAGAGGAAAAACAATATAACATTTATACACAAGATCAACTGCTTGAAYGCAGAAGCAACTGCTGTAACTTCCATGTTAGGGAAGTTGGAAGGTTCATGCATGCTCATTAAGCAATCAACAASCTCACAGAAAAGAATCCATCTGGATACTAGGTAGGATACTACCACATCCAGCAGCCCTAAATCATCAGAAGCTGAAAGCGCTTTCAAGGAAACTGTGACTAGRTACTGAACTGGTTCCTACACACTAGCTACAATGTAGCAGTAGCTCTTCCAATTCTCTGGGAATGGAAGCTTGCTCTTATCCTACAGGACAAATCTTATATTATTTCACTTTTCCTACAGAGAAGCTGTAGGATATAGTTTATTTTTCCCTCTAACATTACAATCAAATGTATTGAGACTTAACCAAACAGCAAACTCCTTACCTGATCTTCCCTACATAAACATGGTGGCAAAAGAAAGGCCTAGTCACCTATGACCATTGTGACAGTTTTAACAGTCTAAAAACCCAAATAATTATATCCGAACCTCATGTTTAAGGATTTTGAGCTCATTAATTTTCTTTTTGCCCCACTTTGTCCTTGAAATGACATCACCAATTATATAGCTCAAATGCACCTGAGTCATTGTCGTCCACTTAAAACATCCCAGCGTATTTTAAAGCAGCTCAACAAACATTTCAAGCCATTTCAGTAGAGAACTTTGGAATACTTGTCTCTTAGTGAAGCACTTACTTTGACTTGACGATTTCTTTTGCATACACATCTTCAATAACCTATTTCAAAAAGAATTTTAAGAAGTTTACATATTTCATGAAATGATTAAAAATACATTCAAGTATTCTACGCACTCAAAGTTACTCTGAATTAGTTATTCTCTGCTTAACACTATTTGGTCAAAAAAATGTCGTAACAGGTAAGTTTCAGCTCTGAGGACACCGAACACTCCCCAGATACATTTTCACTAAAGAAATTAATGGGCTAAAGGGAATAAAAAGCACAAGTTAGAATTTTCATTCAAGATATTCAGAAGAAACAGCTTGCATCTCACTGAGATTTAATACACAAGTCAAACACATGTAGATTTTTTTTGTTGTTAATCTTTGGTTTATTGTTGAATTTAAAGAATAGTCTTGAAGCTTTAAGTTTGCATCAATCCAGCCACTGTTTCTTGTTACTGACCAAATCCAGACCATTCCATATTTTTTTCCAAATAGGACTGGAAAATAACGTAGAGAATTTATCCGACCACTTGTTGCAAAGGTCACATTCCAGCAGCAAATCTGCAGTCAGAGCTGTAGTTTGGCTGCTACCTACAATCTAGTTCTAACACACACAGACACAAATATTACCACAAATATTATAAAGAGGGTAAACAGAGGCAAGAGGAAAACTGAGCCAAACATCCACAAGGGAATGAAAACTAACATCTGAGAAGCATGTACTACCCAAAACCAAATGAGAACCCAAATCCCTAGGCCAAACTTTAAACACGCATTTAAAACACACATAACCACCAGCGCAGTAACTCACTTCTCTGATTAAAACCTTCTGAACAGGTTTTTAAGAGAAACTCTTAAAAAGTTTACTGTTACCTATATATTTAGTCCTTCTTTTAAGGCTGAAGATCTCAAATATCTTCACCCCTCACAGATTCTCAATGAAAACAAACCGAGCAAATTGCRAGAGAAGTGCATTGCTATTGCACACCTTCAGGGAGCTTATAAACCACAAACAACTTAAACAATAACCTACATTAATAGTGTGTTATGCAACTCTTGACTTTCCAAGCAGTCTCTTATACCCTTACACAAAACAAGCATCGGTGAATGGTTAGCATGGCACAAAAATGGCATTTTCCGTTCTTTTACAGCAAGGTAAAATAGCCATAAAAGTATTTACCTTTGAATCAAAGGACAATTTTTTCTTCGCATGAGGAGCCCAATATTTATTTGCTAACTGTAAGGGGAAAAAAGAGTTCAAAATAGATTAATCCAAAATAGATTAAACAAACACATCTTCAGTTTACATCTGTTGTTCTATATAAAACTCTGTAACCCAAAACTTTATTTCACTAGTTTCTTGCTTAACTTTTCAGTAACTTTTCATCTTATGGGAAGTACATATTACATTATGTTTTATCAACAATAACGATTCTCAGCTATGCTGTGCCTGTACATTTCCAATAAAGGGGTCACTCCTCACATTAACAAAAAAAAAGAAAAAAAAAAAAAAAAAGAGAGAAGTAGAGACTGCTGCACAATAAAGTCTCTTCTCCTAGTTTTCCTCTAGCAAAACCCTGGAAAATACACAGGAAGCTTTGAGGAGGCTGCAAACCTGACTGGAAACCTCTTTGTAAAATAGGCAAGGCCACAAGGTAAGTCGGAAGGTCTGAGAGGTCTCTGAGGCTGCACCTTTATGAACCTGACTGAGAACTGGGCAGGCACCTACAGACAGTTTATATATATATATATATATATATATAAACACACACACATACACACACACACACACACACATAGATATATGTCTTTACATTAAAATTAGAGGACTTTAACCAAGTGGCTACACACCACTGAACAGGAAGAGAGCAGTAACATCAGCCACTGCCAAATATCTATATTTATATATAAGGGGCTCAGCACACTGGGAGCCCTCTGCAGCTTTGTGGGCCCCACAACAACCCTCCTCCCTCTCGAGCGCTCCGGCCCGGCCCTGCCGTTGCGGGCCCGCGCGGCTCCGGGGCGCCCCGGCCGCACCTGCGTCACGAACTCCGCGTTGATCTGCGACACCGTGGGCGCCACGATCTTCTTGGGCGGCGCTGCCGAGGCCGCCATCGTGGCGCGGCCTCCCCCGCGCCGCTGCCCGCGATGGTCCCGCCCGGCCCCGGGCCAGCCGCGCGCCCAGCGCACCGGAAGTGTGGGCAGAGAGACGGGCGGAAATGAGCCCCCGGTGACCTCGGCGCGTGGAGCGGGAAGCGCTTCCGGGGCGCGGACTGGGTGGGCGGTGCAAGGTGGGGCCGTGATGACGTGAGCCCGCGGCGCTGCGACATGGCGACCAGGGCGAGAGTGGAGTGGGTTAATAAAGAACTCGGGCATGGCCCTTGAAGGACTCTCTTAGTTCCTCTTTTCCCCTTTTCTTTCCCTCTGTGTTAGTATTGTTTCCATAATGTATTTACATTAATCGCATTTGTTTACAGTCACAGTTGTTTACAGTAATCGTGCAGTAGGAATAGCCYAAGGCCAGTGTGCTAAAACATCCCTAAAATAAAAGATAAAACTGACACAGTGAATGTAACACATTCCAAACGCAGGGTGGAGAAGCCCAGGCAATGTCTGGGATTTGATCTGGTGCTTTGCAGAGGGAATAACCTTGTTAWCAAGGCACATACAACCCAGGATATTAGTGCATTCCTTGGAAAGAGGGGGGAAAAAAATTGCCATCTGAAAAGATTGTAAAGACAATGGCACTAAGGAACATAGCAGGCTTATGATGGTTTTTGTGTCCTCTCTTCAAATGCTATGTAAATATACCTAGTGATTACTGCTATTATTATTTAAGTATTCAGAGCAAAGTGTGCAGTTCCGATACTACACAGGAGCTAATATGGAAAACACCAGCCTAGCAGTGACACCCTCTGGCTCCCTCAGCACTTGTGGGTGCATCGTGTCAGAGCAGATGGAAAATTTGTGGGTGGCAAGTTTGCCTAACAAACTTTAACAGGATCATTATGGAGCAAGGTCAAGTCTGTCCCCCTGCAGACTTTCTCTCTTGTTTCTGAGGCGTGGGATACTCAAGGGTTGGACTTAACAGTAAAGAGTAAAGCAAAGAAGGGATTCTTCCAAGTAGGTCCTCCATGAAGAGGCCAGAGTTTGCTCTCCTGACGTGCAGGCTTTCAATCCTGCTCATGACCCGACTTCCTCCTCACAGGATCATGAGCCCCACCACCTCAAATACATGATATGAGATATATGGCATGATACATGTGTGTGTATTTATAACATGGAAAACCTGTGGAGCAGAGGAGAGGCAAAAGGGCCAGAGGGAAGAAGTACACGTTTATGGAAGCCAGCAACTTAGTTGTGATTTAGAATGGCTTGCGATTAGCTTATTCTATTTAGTAAATAGATTAATTAAGGGGGAAATTAACCTAATCCCTAGAGAAGTTACAGTGCTTTGTTTCCATGATCATTATCCAGCAGCTGCCACTTGAGTACTTTAAACTTCTAGGCAGATATCACTGAAGTCTATTTGAATATGACCTCCTTTGTTTTGCTGTCAAGGTGAACTCCATTTCATTTCTTCAAGAAGAGGTTAAACTAAATATTCTTTTTGAAGTTGAATTAGAATGTACAGTGGGAATGGAAAAAGTAGTGACAGTGTCTTGAATAGGATCAGACGATGGCTGCATTCAAATAAATACACCTACTCCATTCCTTTGCTTTGCAAGATCCGGAAAATCCAAGTTCACTCTATGGAAACAGATAAAATCAAAAAGTTTTCAAGAGCTACTGATAGTAATTTCTGTAATAACAAAGACTGAGCACTTCTTTGTCTATTAATTAAAGCTTTTAGAGAGAGCTGTAATTAATAATGCAAATGCAGAGCAATTAAAATACACTTAAACCAACATACTCTGTATGACATTTAAATTGTGATGAAAATCAGCCAAAGTTAAATGCTTCAATATAAAGTAATTCTCCTAGAGGCTGCAGCTTTATGATTGACTTAGTAGACAATCTACTAAGGTACCAGAATTAACTTGTGTTATACCTGACAAGTTAGACTCAGAAATCTCAGAAATCAACCTAGGTGGCTTATGTTTGCATGCACTATAACAAATGGAATTGTAATAGTCTGTATGCCGGAAGAGAAGGAACAAGTCAGTGCTGAAAGAAAAGGAAGGAATTGAAAATTATATACCCTCAGACTGAAAATAGGAAAACTTCCAAAAGTGGCTTTGAGATAGGAGCTCTAAGTTGAAGTTGTGTTTAAGACACTGTTTGATACRTTTAGGAGAGATTATGTGATGATTACTTGGAATTTCTGTTGACTATTTATGACATTAGATTTCTCTTCCAGTAATGTGTGTTAAGTATCACACACAAGGCTCAGCTCATTTTGCGAGGGGAACAATTGCCAAGCAAGGTAGGCAGGCAAATAGATTTTGGACTTGGGCCATTAATTATTCCCAGACAGCTTTGCAAGTCTAGTTTAAACCATTCCAACTGTCTCAATGGGCAACCTCTGTTTATGGTAGATCATGAGTCCTGTTAAACATCCCTCAAAAACTGTAGGTTTCCATATGGTATCAAAACTATGAAAGGTCAAGGATGAATCCATACTGGCCTAGCTTTTGGCTGTTGTGTGTCCCAATGAGGTTAGTTGCCTTAGCTTCCCTACAGCCTGTGTAGAGACCTAGACCCTTCTGGAAGCAAGTCARTTCTCATTGAAGTGCTCCAAATCATCTCCCGCTGCTAGCGACTGAGCCCCTGCTGATAGTGAAAGCTAAAGTTAGATGCCCAGTGTTAGGAAATGCCATTACATCCCTTGACAGCAGTCTGAAATAAAGTGATAAAGATCTCCTTCCTACAAGTAATGCATTACATTTTTGTTTGTAAGGGGCTACTGTTCACTTATAAAGTACTATGATGTAGGGCCATAAAAGAATATCAAAAGTATTAAGTAATGCTTTGGTAAGATGTGTCACTTCCAAGTATCAAGAGCATCTAAACCTTTGAAGAAGAACTGTGAGATCAGACATACTGGTACTAACAAAGCCTGGTAGGGTCTTTGTCCCTACCTGCSACTCTCACCCAGTTCATGACTGCCTCTTAAGACTCTTCTCTTGAATACTGCACTCAGTTCCTTGGTGTGGAGACAGGTCTCGCCACCCTCAAGTGCTTTGCAGTCAAGAGGGGAAAGGAAACCCTGCACCCAAAGCCTTCTGTGAACTTCCCCATCTTTCTGTACTCRTCGACTTAATGCAAAGTCAAGAAAATCAAATATTCTTTCTCTTCAAAAATCTGTTAATTCATTCATGAAGATATGTATTATTTAAAAAGTCACATATTTGAGTAGATGCAATTTTCAAGACTATTATTCATTTCAAGGCTGCATATATTCTTGGCTAATTTATATTAAATGCTGCTTTGGATGCTTGCCCTTCTGTGTTATTGTAGGAAGCAAAAAACCTGTAGAAGCCAAGGTCGTAACCTGGCCATATTCTTGCTTTTATCTCAGTGAGTTTTTTCTGAATATGATATCTCTGTCTCTGTCTCAGGAAATACCTGGGGATAATCAGCRGCGATCGTTTCAATGTTCAAGCTTTTCTTCCATATAGATTATTTTAGATTCTACCATTAGTTACAGAAATGATGAATTCCTAGCAATGAATACTCAAAAAATATACCCGTAAAGCATTCTGATATGATTTTTTTTTTGATTGAGATTATTTTAAGTTCTTCAGTTAGACATGAATTGCAGACTAATTATGGTGTTTTGGTCCTTTAAAACTTAATTCAGTCGTCTGGTGACATTTCAATGAATCAGGAATTTGTGAGCCTGTATCTTGGCTGTGATGCTAACTTGTCACATGTTGATAGTAGAAMTTATTTAATTATTAACTCATAAAGCAAGAGCATTCTGATTTTGCACAATGTTTTGCATTTTGTACAATGCAAAAGGGGTAAAAATTCTTAATTCACTTTTAGTAGAAAAAAAAAAAACACACTTACTACACTTTATTTATAAAACTATGTAGTAGYTTTAAATTACAGCCTCTTTTTTAAGTCATGCTAGGAAAGTTTTCAAGCAGACAGTCACCTGATTGAAGACTGCAGAATTTTGCTAAGTGGAAACTTTTCCACAAAAAAAATACTCAAGGGGGCAGCCTTGACTAGGTTTCACTAGAGATCTTAACCCAGTTAAAGGGGATTATTCTAGGCTAAGAACCCATGGTGGTCCTATTCCGGGCACCATAATGCCAACTACCAATTAGAATGCTCCTCCACTTAAAATAGATTCAGCACCTATATATTTCTAATGTCAAAAAGTTCCCTTTTTTGATGTTTTTCTTTCACACAAATCCTCCAGGCACTTACGCTTTGAGTGTTAAACCCTTCAAGCTTCTTAGACGTCCCAAATGAWGCCTGCACCGGAAGGTACAGATTCCGTATGGATACCACATTGCAGCTCCATAAACTCCATCGGGACAGCTTTTTTTCCTGAGCACCAACAGCTGCCACAGCTGTTGGTCCCCAACATCGGATGTCGTTCAAGAAGCTGCAAGCTTCTTGCATGGGTGTCACTGCTCCCTTGTAGCCAAGGGGGCACCGGCCACCAAAGCTGCTCTGATGAAACAGGAGCACCCATAGCAGCCCTGTGTTACAGCCCCACGCTCTCCTGCCAGGGACTGTTTTCCCTCTGCACCAACAGTGAAAGTTCAGCCTAGACATAGAGAGCCAGTGCTGGCTCTCTTGCGAGGCTTTGGTGTGCTTTATTTCTTGACCGGGTGGAGGGACGCAGGGCTCTTGCTTTCCCAGTCACCAAATATAGCCCACAACTGTGGTTGCTGCCCTTTCCTATTTATGTTGAACACCCCTAGTGTTTCTTGTGACCTTGTGCTGCATACCTCAGAGGCAAAGGGAATGTCTGCAATCCTTTTTCCAAAAGAGATCTGTCATTGCTCYGACGGTGAGCTCGTCTCTATGCAGAATGGGAAAAGACAAGCCAGAGCGAGCCAGCTGGGTCGGGCTGTTCCAGCTCAGAGACCTCCGGCTACCCAGGTGGTCAAGGTGCATTAGTGGAGCTGTGAAGGTGAAGCTCTAGATATCTACGGCCCAT